CTTCCTTCCCCTCCCTCTTCCTTCCCCTCCCTCTTCCTTCCCTTCCCTCTTCCCTTCCCAACCCCGTCCACCTCCACAGCCATCTTCCATCCCCGTCTACGTAAGCTTTTCCTCGCTCTCCCGCGGGGCTAGCGACTAAACGAGAACCCAAGCATCAGAGATGCTTTTGGGAAAAAACGCGGCCATCTTGAATCCCTTTAGCTCGGTTCACCGATCGCTTGATTCGGGGTCACCTGGCTGGAAGCGGAATCCCCTTGAAGGGTCGATCGGTCTGAATCGTCTTTCGTTGGCGCTGAGAGCGATGCGCGACCTCGAGGTGATCCCTGCCGACTTCCGCCATTCACCACAGAAGTGTACTGGATTGTACTGATCACCACCACGAAAGGTATTTGATGGATGAGTATACGCTGGAATCACCATGGAAGTGGACGGTGAACTCCACCTCCATGGTGATTCCAGGTTCCAGGGAGTAGTAAAAAGAATACAGAAGCAACACCTGCGGGTGTAAGGGGTTCACTGATCATGCAGCACCTCTAATACCACAGGCTTTTCATTCATGGCTATATAAAGATGATCCTGAGCAAGATGAAAACTTCAACATCATGTCATACATGCATGCATGCATGCATGCATGTATGTATGTATGTATGTCTGTAATGTAATGTAATGTAATCCCATGAATTCCCAATCGCCGCGGTGAACATCACCATTCCTGCGAATCACCTGGCCGTGAACATGGATGTTTGATTCGTCCCCCCGGACTGAAAGGGGTGACAGGACCCTCCTGGACCATCTGGGTGTGGCGTCCTCGATAAGGAAAGAGTAGGGCAGTCCAGCCAGGACACCCAGAGGGGAGAGATGGTCCAGGAAGATATTGCTCCTTTATCTGTTTTTCAGAAAGCCAGGACACCCAGACCTCCACCACTTATGACATCATGGCATGACCACTGTCACGCTATCCAGATGTTGATTTCGCAAACCACCGATCCATCAAAAGCCAAGCATTTCGCGTCCCCCGGCCCATCAGACCACCACGGTTTCTATTCGCACCGGGGTCCCGACCCCACCCAATCTCACCGAATCGCCCCGACCTGGGCGCAACCCGTGCACCTCTGCGCACCCGACGCAGATGCTCTTCAACACCTGCTTCGCGTGCTCCGACTGCGACGGCGAGTTGCCCGAGTCCTTTGGCTTCGTCCTACTGGACTTCAAGGCGTGGCGCGAAGGCGTTCGCGAAGGCGGAACGGCAAAGGAACGGCGGCCGCCGAGCCGTAGGTGTTCGGAGAGTCCGGTTGAATGAAGAAACGGCCCCAATGTGAAGAGCATGTCCAATTCAAATGGGAGGGTTTACTTTCAAGAGGGTTACTTTTCCAATTCAAATGAGAGCATTTATATCAAGAGTCTACTTTATTTTTCATGTTGGGACTCATTGATGGATGTAAATCAATGCGGGGGTGTTCTGGGTGGGGTCGTGGTCGTTCAAGTATTCATGTTTGCAAAGCTCGCTTCGAAAACGGCCCGGATTCGACCCGCTCTTCCTCGTCACCTCACCGGTTTCCTTATGAGTCGACTCCACCGGTCGCTTCCGCTTCGAACCATGAAGAACAGCGGCACCAAAACACCGACTCGCACGGCTCGTCGACGTCCGGTCGTCGACGGCAGCTGGTGAACACCGCGGTGCGCTCGGTGCTGCCCTTCGATCCGGATGCCTCGGACCTCCCCGTGGCCCGGAACACCCGGGTGCGGCGCGGCGCGGTGGCGTGGTGCTGGGAAAACCGGACACGGACCCTATGAGAGGTTCGGGTGGGCGAGGGTGGGTCACCGATGGGAGTGACGAAAAAGGGTTGGTTCTGAAGGTTGGACATTTGATGGAGAATTGTTTGGGCAAAACAGCCTAGAAAATCCAAGAAACTTTTCGTTAATTAAAGGGCCAAGAGGCTCTGCCAAGAGGTGACCAAGGTAGAGGCACGTTGTTTTGCGTTTCATGGCAGTTGTTGGAAGGTCCAAGCGGGCATACAGAATTGGAGGGTCCAATGAGCCGGGCTATGAAGATTAATATTTTAATAAACAATTTGACACTCACTACACTCTGGAAGATTAACATGGAGCCTGAAAACCACTGGTTTGTAGAGGAAAAGAGTCTTTCGGGTGCCATTCTCAGGGTCCATGTTAGTTTTCGGGAGTGTATTTTAGGAAACAATTCTGAAAGGACGAACTTTGTCCTTCCTCGTTGATGACGGACGGGAGAGCTTAATAGGGTAGACGGACGCGGAACACCTTGGACAACTCATTTCAGATCACCTACCTATATATATCCCTGGGAGTCAAAGACTATAAAAAGAATGGTCTTTAGGGGAACTGAAATGGAATTTCCTTTACTTCAGCCGGTCAAAATATAGTCTTTGGACTTCTAGGATATAGATAGACCAGCTCACTTGGACTCGAAGAACATGTTTTGGCTTAGACAGTTAGCGACTCGAAATGAACCAAAACTATGTGGTCAATTAGAGTGTCCTGTCCTTCGGACATCCGCCTGTCCTTCGGAACCTTCGCCCCCAGGCCAAGCCTGTGACTTTGAAGTCCTCCGCCAACCTGGTAGGTTCGGCTGATCCAAACTGCCTCGTTTTGAACGCGTGAAGCTGGGTGAAGCTGGGTGAAGCTGGGTGAAGCTGGGTGAAGCTGGGTGAATCTTGGTTCCTCGTCTTCACGGTCGATGCCGTGTCCCCGTCGGGTCAACTGGTCGTTGCGCCGAGAAAAGCGCCCCCCATCTTGGCGCTTCGGGCTCTTGCGGTGCTCCAACCAAGTGTGACCCTTGGGCTAATCCACCCTCCAGCTCGCCGGGAAGACCCTTCCCATTGGAGAAGGGTTCAGATTCAGAATGGGCGCACGTAAAGATTCTGATGCTATGGAGGATCCTTTCTTAGGTTGACCCATGTCTGGGGGCGGCCATTCTGGTAGGCCTTTCTGTGGTCAACCGGTGTTCTTTGTTCAGAACGCGGTGTGTATGATATATATATATATGATTATATATGTTGTTTATTTTTTCAACCGCTTTACCGTGCAAAATCCCTCATCCATAGAAAACTGTGGATTATGATTAACTGCAAACCCTGTGACTAAGCGTGTAGAACATGTGCAAAAACACATCTTTTTTAACATTGGTCTTCGGCTGAAACATCACAAAAACCTAGGTTTGGAATCATTTCCTGCTTCAATGTTTTGTTGTTAATGCAAAACATGATCAAACACACAGTGCTTTACAGTGGTTTTGACTGAACCCCCACAAAGACCTAAGTTTTGAGCTATTGTTTTGCTTCAAGCTGCTTCAATTGTTTCAGACCAAGCTGGCAAAGGTTTACCAAAGAAACAAAATACAAAAATACCACAACCATATCAGAAACCTATAGTACGGGAAACTATTATAGAAGATATAAAAACATGTTTTCAATTTTTCAACGTATATTTTTCGCACAAAATACACATGAGCCCGCCCGTTCCCTTTCCGTCGCTCTCTCTCCCTCCCTGGAGAAGAAGAGAAGCAGCTGGGTAAACCTCCTAATTAGCTTCTCTTCTGCTTTCTGTTTTGCCTTCCCTTCTGCCTCCTTCCCCTTCCCCTTCCCTTTCCACCTTTTCTTCCTTCCACTTTCTCCTTCCTGTCCATTACTTCCTTCCCCCTTCCCCCTTCTGAGATTCTCCTGTCCCTTCTGCCTCTTTCCTCCTGCCTTCTCTTCCTCTTCTTTGCCTTTTTTGCCTCTTCTAATTGAGGTGGCTCGGGGTTTGGCCTCTCTCGGTTTTCACCAACGTTGTGCCCGGCGGGACTACGTTTTCTACCTGGCCATCTTCTGTTTGAAACCCTCCCGGCGGCAAATTTCCATACCCTTCAAATAGAAGATCGGCACAAGCAATTTCTTCTATAATAGATGTGCGTACTATAACTGTAAAAAACACAACAACAAAATACAAAAAACACACACCAAAACACAATATATACTTGAGACAAAAGGAAGGCAAAACCAAAAACCCCCATTTTGTCTCAAACATGTTTTTTTGGGTTTTTGTTGTTTTTGTTTTTTTGGTTTTATGGTATGTTGTCTTTTTTGGTATTCCCTCTAAACCTTTGCCGGCCTTGTCTGAACAATTGAAGCAACACAAGAGCTCAATAGCCTTGGTTTTTGTGGGGCGCAGTCTCAGAAGGCTGTTCAATTGCTTGCATAGGATCATGTATGTCTTGCTTAACTTTTCTTTATGCTCTCAAATGGAGCACAACATATGGAACACCAAAAGGAAGCCGCATTATTATTTGTTCTTTTAAGCGTTGCCTTCTTAAGAGCATAAAGATTCAAATAAAGGAACACATTACGGAAGAAGCTAATGAGCTAGACCAAGCTGCAACAGCATCAATCAACTTATTTTCAGGCAGCAAGTTACTTCTTCTGGTGTCCTGTCTCAACAAGTGTTTCTATTGCTCCAGTAGGTTGTATATATCTGTTTTGCTTAAGGTGTTCTACACGTTCAAAGGCGCCTTAACATTGAGCACCAAAAGGAAGGCTGGTTCAATCTTCACAAGGTTCTTTCTTGGTCAAGTTGTTTTGTTTGGCTTAGCTCTTTCTAAGAAGGTACTGAACTCAGCTGGTGCTAAGCAATCCTTGGATCGACCCATTTCGAGCCCCTGTTCGGCCGCCTTCCAAATCGGCACCTGGTCGGCTCGGAGCGCGGGTCGGCTTGTCCACCCGATGAATCACTCGGAGCCCGAAGCCCGGGAGGCTTGGAGAAGGTCGTGGGCGATGTGGCACAGGTTTCTCGAAAGATTGTTCGATAAAAGGAGGGTTGGCTGGAAGAGCGTTGGGATGTGGGTGGCTTTGGATTCCATTTGGGGGTGCATTTGTTGGAGTCCAACGGGTTGTTGGGAAGTGAATGACCAGACGTTCGGTCGGACTGGTTCGCCTTTTGGCCCACACACCGGGGCTTTCGAGGACCCTTTTGGAGGTATTCTTTACAAAAGGCCATGTCAACACTTTCAAATCTGTCAATATCCCGAGAATCCGGACGGCCCCTCCAGCTTGGGAGACCTCACCTCCAGTTTGCATGCAGTCGTGACCCGAACCTGCCACCCTTCCCATTGCTTCGTGCCCAGATTCTGGGCGATGTCCTGAGATCCTCCAAGTAGATGCAACATGTCCATTTTCATTTGTAAAACCATGCAAAAGGCATATTCTGTTGCATAGTTGGAAGATATATGTACCGTACCATGATGTACCTCCGTTAAATTGGCCGAAGCCATGGCAGTGGTGTTTGAAGCCTTGGTCGTTGTGTTTTTCTGGAACTTTTTTGGAACGTCCGAGGTGTGCATTCAGTCCCTCTTTCTGATGAGCGCCTCAGCCCCGCATCTCGACCATCGTGACACGCGGATGAGAGGAGGTGAGGATGTGCATGGGGAAGAAGCATTGAATTTCTGTGTCTCAAAAGGATCTGGGTCATTCGACTTGGAATCATCATTGATGACCTTTGCAAGGCCCAAGAAGCAAGTGATTTGGCCCAAGGGGTGTATGTCTGAAGCACGCGGCTGGAAGCCAACTGGCCCATACTGTGAGAGGGCATGACTAACAGTGTGGTTTGTGGAAAACCATTGTTTTGTCCATATCAATCAATGGGATTTTTGTTTGGGACGCCACATTGAGGAGGACATTCCTACTATACTACTTGCAGTATTGGTGCAATCTAGTACGCCCAAGGGTAACCCCCTTTACACGAACCGAAGGTTGGGATCATCTTCATATCTAAAGGAACCGGAGTCCTGTAGAGGAAGATGCACCTTTTCAAAAAACTTCCAGTGCAATAAACAGGATGCTTGCTCTTTGGCCGAGATATTCCATGTGTACTGCTTTGTGAGGGTCCAATGTGTTTCCCTTGGCTGAAGAGTCTTTTTTTGCCTTTCCCCAAGCAGGGGTAAGGAAAGGGACAACTAGGCGGCCCTTGCCTTCCAAGACTTGAAGAATCGCCCTGAATTTTCTGGTACAACATGCTTTAGACACAAACAATTGCTGTTCGTCGGATCGTCGGACCCCCCAATTTCGGCGACACAGCCGGGTTTGTATCCAGACAGGTCCGAGGAAAGGCAACCAAAATGAACGAATTCTTTACAAGCTAAGGAGCCCAGAAATATCCCTAAAGATCCGGACCCTCAAAAACTAAGGCTATTGGGAACCCCTGCCAAACCCCTGTGAACTCCAGAGGCTTCCACCTCTGCGACGAAGGGCCAAACCTCCACCGGTTCACAGGGCGCGGTCCGGACACGTCCAAGCCCTGACCGTCCAACCCTTCCAGTTTGCTGAAGGGCCCCGGAGTCGGAGAGGAAACGGTGTCTTCCGGAAGTGGTCGATCTACGGAACACTCGTTTGACATGTTCTTAGCTGTCAAAAACACTTCCGCGCTCGTTCTGTTGTTGTTGCTGTTGCTGTTGCTGCTGTTGTTGCTGTTGTTGCTGTTGTTGCTGTTGTTGCTGTTGTTGTGGCTGTGGCTGTGGCTGGGGCTGGGGCTGGGGCTGTGGCTGTGGTTGTTGTTGTTGTGTTGTTGTTGTTGTTGTGGTGGTGGTGGTGGTGGTTGTTGTTGTTGTTGTTGTTAGAAACAAGAACAGCCGCCCAACATAATTGTCACATGTTGTAACTTTGGAACTTCAAGGGGCAAGGTTACGGTTGAAGGTTTGAGCGAATGTTGGTTTCGTAAGTAGGTGGGCTTGTTGGACTTGTTTCACTCAAGTCTGGGCTGGTCCGTTTTTAGTGTTTTTGAGCTGTTGTTCTGGAGGGGGGGTCCAAAAAACAACAACGGGGCTGCAGTCTTTGTTTCTAGGAGGGGGTAGAGACAACGGGGTGTCCAAAAAGCAACAACGAGGCTGTAGCTTTTGTCTCTAGGATGTGGTAGAGGTTCTCAGTAGAAGTTATACAGAGGCTTAGCTGACCGGCTACTACTACTACTACTACTACTATACTACTACTACTACTACTACTTCTAGTACTGCTACTACTACCACCACCACCACCAGTATTACTAGGCTACTACTACTTCTAGTACTGCTACTACTACCACTACTACCACCACCACTACCACTACCACTACCACTACGACTACTACTACTACTACTACTACTACTACTACTACCTACTACTACTACTACTACTACTACTACTACTCCTGTTCCTCCTCCTCCTCCTCCTCCTCCTACGACTACTACAACAACGATACCAGCACTACCACTACTGGTAAAAGTACTTGTTGGCTGGTTGTTTTCGGGGTGGTCAAAAAGACAACGACGGGTGACGGGGCTGCAGATTTTGCTTCCACCCCCTTCTAGTAGAGACAAGGGAACAAGATATGTAACGGGGCTGCAGTTTTTGTTTGCACCTCCTCGTCGTCGTCGTCGTCGTCGTCGTAGTAGTAGTAGTCGTAGTAGTAGTAGTAGCAGCAGCAGTAGTAGTAGCGGTTGTTGTTGTTGTGGTTGTGGTTGTTGGTTGTTGGTTGTTGGTTGTTGGTTGTTGGTGGTTGTTGTTGGTTGTTGTTGGTTGTTGTTGGTTGTTGTTGTTGTTGTTGGTTGTTGTTGTTGTTGTTTCTTGTTCCCAACACGAGGCACGGCTTTGTGATCTTCAGCGTCATTGTCGGAGCACTCAACGGCTGCCTCTCCATTGCTCTCATTGTGGCTTGGCGCGATCCCCTTGGATCATGCATCATACGGGTCTGTGTGGGGCCAGGGGAGACACCCTGGCCCAAGTCTCGGGCCGACCAAGTGGAACGTTGCTTTGGTTCTTGACCCACCGAGCCCAACCGCACTGATGTAAAAAACGCACTGAGCGGAAACACAAGTATCGAAACCTCGGCAAGGGAGATATCTTCTGAAAACACCCATGAGGCGATGGGACAGGCTTCTCTTTGGTGAAAGAGACATAGATTGGTTAACCATCAGCACCTTGTTGTTGTTGGGCCAATCCAACGGCGAGATTGACTGTCCACCTCACCGTCAGATATCAAAAGAAGAGTTTCAACTTGTCGACACATGATATCACATGTTCACCTACCCTTTTCGGGGTGTTTGTGGCCCACAACCATAGGGGGTGTCTCAAAATGATCAGACCTTCCAAACAGCTTGCGCATGATGTTGACAACCTCTCATTTTTGAGTTTAAAGATGCTTCACCATCGCGGCACATCTCCGTATTGCAATGCATTGCACTTTATTAACATTCATGACATTTCTGCCGAGGTCATCCAATTAGTCCACGCAATGGTTGGTTTGAGAGGCATGACATATAGGCTTTCACCTCTGCCAAAAGATCTTCCAGGCACAGGATGCATTGCAAGAGGAGTCTGCAGTTCAGGCGCGATGCGCGCGGAGCTGGGAAGTGGAGGCTTGACTGACAAGTCCACTTGAAGATTTCCTGGGAGGTGTTGGAACAACCCAAACGAAAACAAATATGGATGTCGAAAACCCACACAGTCTTGGGATGTCTTTTCATGTCTTTTCAAATTCCTCATTTGGCACCGCCTTTTTCGTTGTTCCCGGTTCGGCGAATATACGAAACGCCCATGGAGTGCTGCGCGGCTGCTTGAGGACCGCGAGTTGGAGCAGGGCACCGTGCTGGCGGCGTTGGCAGGCGCGGTGGCAGGCGGTGGGGGACGTTTTGAGCACTTGGTCTTAAGCACTCCGCAGAAATGGAGAAGTCCTACAGAAGAAACACGTCAGAATGTGTGTGTTGGATGGTTCACTGTCTTTGCCCTATGCGACAGTGTAGGTTGTTCACACAAATCACCCAAGAGATAGACTGGGTCATTTTTGTTGGATTTGTTCGAGATTCCTGCAGTCAAACCACTATATAATATCTGTTTTTCAGGTCATTCCCCAGCATGTGCACTGGACCATCCCCAGACACTCCATGTATGCCGAGTGGTTGAACAGGGGATCCATATTGGCATATCGCCGTGAAGCTCAAGGGAGACAGGCACCTCGACCTTGGCAGGGTGCCTCCCCTTCAAACCAACACACATGGGTCCATCCAGTCCCAGAGTCCCATGGAGTCTGGGATGGACCAAACCGCCAGTTCTGGGCTCCCGTGAAAACGACATGTTCCAGGAGTTGTCCGTGGGGACGCAGGGGACGAGGTGGACCGTCCACGGTGAAGTGAAGTATATACTCGTTCCTGACTGGAGAGAGCGAAACTGTACATGGAGATCAACCACAATACAGGGACAGATACCGTAATGCCTAGGGAACTATCTACAGTCAGAGTTTTCCACAATCCAGGAGCAAACAATGAAGCACTTCTTGCGGTTCTTGCGGTGCGCAAGAAACACACATGTGAGCACAAACATGACACCCCAGGGGTCCAGCACGTCCAAAGACAAACTCCAAGAAGGACTCATGTGACTCATGTAAATTCTTGGGGGTTATTGGGGGATCTTCCAAATGCGCCCATTGTGTTGAACCATCACTCAGACTGAGAAACATGAATTCCGTATCAAAGTTTATGGCAAAGAGCCTGCGGCAGTTTGCCAGGAAGTTGTGTTACATACATTGATGTATACATCGGAAGGTTCAGCTTGAGGCATTTTCCCCAAGATCACAATCGCCTCAAGCCGGGTCTCAATGCAGCCCTCCTATCAATAGCGCTTCTTTGGAACCCCTTCCCAATTGTTTTCAGGTGCAATGCAATGTTGCTGCAACTTGGCAATGACCCCGGACCCGTGCTGCACCCGTTTTCTGCACAGACCCGTTTTTTTCTGCAGGGACCCTGTGGCACGACCGTCGCGCGGAGCACTGCGCTCCTCCGAGGCGAGGTGAAGCTCGTGGAGGAAGGCACCAGCAGCGAGATGCCGCCCGTTCTGCGAGACCCAGGCGTTCCGCGACGTCCGGCGAGCGACGTCCGGGCGATCCGAAGCGGGTTCGAGTCGGAGCCGCAGGTGGATTTTAGGTGGTTTTTTGGTGTGTTTTTTGTACATGAGGATGAGAAGATCCTGTCTTTTTTGAGTTTTTTTGCAGAGGATGAAGGGATTATTAGTTTGTGTTTACCTTTGTTGGCGAAACAGATTGTGGACATCGTGGACATCCCGCATGAATAGGATCAATGTGATTCAATGGCCGTAAGAGGCCCTTGCGAGGTGATTTTTACAGCCAAGGTCTGGCGGTCTGCCTGAAGGTGGCTGGTTCCCGCTGGTCATGCTATGGTAGAAACTGGATGAGAAGGGTCCTTCAAAATGACGAACCCTCAAAGGTATCTTACGTCAATGTCATTACAAACATGTCAATATCTAGACCATAAGGTAGAGCCCAAGGTAAAGGCAAAGGCAAAGGTATGATACTATACATAACATGTCATGAAATGTCATTTTTTGTGACATATATTCTCGTGGCATTTCTTGGCTCAATCACCGCAGGTGGAGGCCAATGTGGGGTGTTTGTGTGCAGGTCAATGCGGGATTCGTTTTCGTGTGGAAGTCGCATTGGTCAGAACTTGGGGCGCTCCGACTTCACCCCGGGAGTGGAGTTCACCACCTGTTTGGTCTTGGGCATCCGACTTCATCCACGGAGCCATGACATCCACCGAGTCGAAACGACGAGTCGATTTCGTGGACGATGTGGGTGTGAAGTGCGTCGGCAGCGAAAAAGGAACGCAGAAGAAATGGAGTTGAGTCGATGGAGTCAAAGGAAGAAACAGGTCCTCCAACCATCCATCCACCTCCCCCAAACAAAAGCACATATGATATACCTAGCACTTCCAAGTAGGGTGCCCTGTCTGGAGACCATTTCTTTAGTGACCGATGGTCCAGCCAGGTGACCGGAAGCGCGCACCCCTCGCTCCGGTGAGCCCACCAGGTGGACCTTCCCCAGAAAGGCAGGTGGGCCGAGCAGCGCAGGGAGCGCGGGATTGGTGGAAGACCGAAGTCAAGCGACCCAGTGAGATCCATCCGAGATCAGTGAGGGTCAAGAGATTCCGAGACATGAAAGCCACTGCTCCAGCACCTCGTGACCAGATTCTCTAGTTGGGCCCCTCCGACTGACGTGATGCAAACTCCTCCCATGTGAGAGTATGTGAGACTTCTACAGGAGTCGACGTTATACGCTTAGAGTTTAGAAGTTTAGAGAACAATGAATATTGAATTTGCACGCGGCGGCCGATGGTTTGTTCGGACATCGGGAAGCAGTTCATGGTGAAAACACGTGAAAACCATTCCACACAGAATTGGTTGCTAGGGGACATCTACTTTAAAATCCATCGTTATGGCCATTTTCGTCTGCTCGGTTTCCGTGAGCATCACGGACGAGCGAATCGGATCGAATCGTGGATCGATCGCGATGCGTTTGTTCGACGACGGAGACCCTCCACAGGGATCTTAATGGACTTTCCCTTGTGGAAACGGAGGGCTAACATAGACAGGATATGACGATCAATCACCCATGCATAGTCCCAAGCATATACATGTTACACAAATAAGAAGGCCCGCCTGAGGGGTGTCTAATAATAGCCCTTAGAGGAAGTTAAGGGGCCATGCATCACCCCTTAATTAGTGGGCCCTGGTGCATACTCCACGTTTTCCTGTGGGGAGTCCTTTGCATCTTGAGATCCTCTTGGCCTTTTCCCAAAACATTCACGTTGCACGTCAGGCTTGGCCGCAGCATGAACGACGACATGGCCATGTTGTGAGTCGTGAGGAGAAAAAATAACAATGCTGCGCAAACGTCGATCCAGACTCGCAGAGTCACTCCCACCTCATAGTGTATGAGTTTCTGATAGCTTATGAGGCCCACAACGCCCACAACGCGGTGGTTTGAGAACATGGGAAGTTGACCCGCCAATTGGACCCCTGCTTTGAAGGGAACATCGGTGAAGCCCAGGGAAAATCGGGGGGTTGAAGGCCATGGGGGTTGAAGGCTTAGACCTATGGACCCATGGCAGTGCGTCTTAGATTCCATTGAAGCCTTTGCGAGTGTAGGTGCGCGAGTTTTGAGATGGTCATCCTAAATACATCCATCCTCCCTATTTCTTGAGGATGACGTACACATGACCACATGCACTTTTGCCATATTATGGGTGTGGGCTTTGACACCCGGGCGCCCTGGTTGACCCCCCTGAGAATGAGATTCCTCTAGGATTTATGACGGATCTATAAGTGATGTCAACCTACCATAGATCTCAGATCCTTTTGGTTGGGAAGGTCCTGAGAGTTTGTGAGGACCTCTTCACCGCCAGCCCCGGTGCCAGAACGTCGCCGTCGCGCGTCGCAGCCGATGAAAGCCATGTGGGGAGCAGAAAAGAGACGCAAAAAGACTAGCAGAAACTCTTCTATAGCTCTTTAGTCTATAGCTTAGATTTCCTGCAGATTTTGAGCCATAGTGCAGATGCCAACTCCGTATATGATTAGAACTTAGAACACAAAAAGACCAGACTCACAGATGGTGATAGGCAGAGCCGGCAGGTTTCACTTTTTCATGCCACAGCCGCCCCAAGACACCGCCCCGAGACATTCGGGTCAACGAGCTTCGGCACCCCACGGAGACGGCCATCGCTGCAAACAGCGAACGACCGGAACGATTGACCGGAACGAACGGACAGACGGACAGCCATCCCCCAAGAAACCATTCCAACACGCCACACGCTGGGCGACCGATTCCGCCAGAGTCCTCGGCGGAATCCGTTGGGAAGAAGATCGGATTCCGCCGCATGGCCATGCCGTGCCGAAGTTCAGAGTGGATCGCTTAGTGATGAAGGAGGAGCGGGTGGGATGTTCCGTGGCTTCACCGAGGCTTCACCGGGGGGGGAGAGACATGAGTCGTGTAGGTTGGGTACTGCACCTCTGGGCCTTTGGGCACAGCATTCCGCTACACAAAAAGCACCCATAGAATCCTGTAGAGACTCATAGACTATCATAGACTATCATAGACTCATAAAGCTTGAGAATGACCCTTTGTGGAGGAAAAGGGTCTTGAGTCTTGAACATGGATGTCGATGCAGGACAACCACACAACCACCCATCATTAGTCCCATTCCAAAGCACTCTCCCCACACCGAACTCGCTGCTGTCGTACCATCAGAGGTCCTTCCTGAGCGCCTGAGAAACGATCTCCACGCCATGGCAGAGGAGATGGGGCGCTGTCCGGAATCTGTTGAAAGCATCCCCGACAGCCCCATGTAGGGTTTAAGTGGTTCAACCTGCAGGTCACCTTTATTGACGGATTGGAGATACCCCACTCAAAATACTCAAATTGGGTTCAGGTTCAGTGCGTGTTTCGCTCCCTTTCAACACCTCTTCGCTGGCGAGAAGACGGGTCGGTCCGGATCGTCCGAGAAGACGCCCACGCCGTCGTTCAGACGAGGAGGAAAGACCCGCGAGCAGCAGTTTTCGTCGGTGTTTGGAGGGTGCTGCTGGAGCCGCGAACGTACCAAAGACGGTGTAAGTGATTGCGGTGTAAGAGTTTCGAGGGAGATTCTGAGTTAGAACACCCACATGCTTGGTCGAAGATGCGAGTCATGTTTGATACCCTGAGAGTCTTGCGACAATTGCTCAGGAGGATCGGGAAGCGAAGCTGTTGAAGGTCCAAGAGAAGCAGGTAGCCTCAGAGGGGCAATGCTCCTGATGGAACTTCACCCTCGATTGGAGTTTTGCGACCTCTGAGGGTGGGGCAATTTTTGCATGGTTTGATGATGATTATTATACCTGGAAAGCCATGAGAGTTGCTACAACTTTTACTTTGTTTTCTCCAACAAACTGTTGACAAAAATACGGTGTTGCTATGGGTAGGCCTGCCATACTCTTTTGATTTAACCATTCTTTGTTGGGTCATTGTGGGTAAAAACCAGTATTTGGACAAACAAGCTGAACGTTACGGCGTTTCCCAGACTGACTAGGTTGTTTTTGGCTTTTGGCTTTCCAGGTACTGTATAATCTGGGTTGGATCGATCCAACGGGACATGATCCCAGAATTGGTTGAAGGGAACATCTACAGGAAACCCATGGTTTGGGAGATGAAAACCATGGGTATTCTGTAGATTTCCCCTTAAACAAATTCTAGGAATGATTCGTCTTTTTGAGATTGTTTGAGACTTTTCGTACTTTGAAAAGACTTGGTGATCTAGCATGACTATCGCTGGTTCTCGCTGGTTTGTGGACTACGAACTATCAGGTCATGTACCTAGACCTGTGATAGACGTGTCAAGTCTTCATGCAGCGATATTTTTGTCCACCAAACCAACCGCTTTGACGGTCAACAACAGTCCTTTTGCCGCCATCTCCTCTACTCTGACATGTGGGTCTACCAGGGCGCAGCTGGTGTTTCGAAGAACTACCCTTTGACTTAACATGGAAGTGGATGGCAACACCTCCATTTTTTGGATAGGAAGTGGATTGGAAGTGGATGGTACCCACCTCCCCCATGCTTGGCCATTTACAGTGCTTTCAGAGTAGATGGCGCAGTCCTGATATATGTGGGGGCTCCATCCAAACCCTGCCGGGGATTGTGCCATCTACTTTTAGCCAACCACTTCAGTTCAGGAAGTGGACCATCCCATGGACCACATGGACCGGGCGTCCTCCACTTCCGAGTCGATGGGTCGATCAGCGGTGAGGGGCCGCTGCATTCGGACAGACGTGGAAGATCCTCACTGAATCCTGAGGAAGGAATCACGAATCACACTTGTTCCAGAGGAACTCACCTCTAACCACCACCACCCCAAACAAGGGCATGGCGGCATGGATGTCAGATCCACGTCACGACGGTCAGGTGTCGATCAATCGCCTCGTAAGACGAGGTGATTCGGAGTGCTCAAACACCACCGGACGGTCTTCGTGTTATTAGCTTGCTAGCTCACTTGCTGACCGCATGCCAAGTGGCATTGTTTCATCACGGCTCCTGAGGCTGGATTTCTTGATGACGAAGGAAAATCTACAGGAGGAGGGCAGGGCCCGGGCAGGGCGGTTCTTGGGCTCGGAGTCCACCACCTTTGTCCGGTCCAGCGCCGAGGTCTCCGGTCGCGCCGACCTCCCAAAACGGTCGACAGGTCCCGACCCGGTGGCCGGGCCACCCGATGGTTTTGAGTGGCGGATTCTTATTGCAAGTGTCAAAACGGTATGGGTATGGTCCTTGAGATCCCTGAGTCCAGTCGATTTTGGACATGGTCCTGACATCGGTGGCTGGTCCGTCCTACTTCGGTGGGGCCCAAAATGATCGAATCTGGGACGCGACAGCGGGGGATGAACGGTCGTCGCGGGTCGGACGCAGAACGAGCCAAACCGGTGGTCGTCGTCGTTGCGGGTCGGAACTCCATCGGCTGAGGACGGGAAGAGGTCGATGTGTATGAGGCCCCCGAAAAGAGCCCCGTGAAAGAAGGTAATATATCGGACATACGAGCGGACTGTTCGCGTCAGCTACTCGCCCCTGGGAATCAGAGAATTCAGATTCGCCAGGCCAACATCGCCTCCCACCAAGGCTCAAGGCCAATGCCTTGCCAAGAGTCGCGCCGCAGACATGGGCACACGAACCGTAAGGGCACGGAGTGCAGCAGCAACTGTGCGAGCTGTGGCATCCGGCCATGGCAAACAGTAGGTCAAAAACTGCTTCTGAATCCCCAGCTCAGGCTTACACATGAAAGTCTCCTCCAACTCAAGACTAAAAAGGCGAACGAGCTCATCAAACAAAACACGAAAAGCCCTAAGCTTGGTAGCCAAAGTGCTAAGGGTTTCACCAGCAGCAACCGAATGACTGGACTGCCATCGCAATCCGCCATGAAAAGAAACCTCAATTGGCAACTCCTCAGTATACCAAAGATGAAAACCGATGCGCAATTCTAAAATGGTGGTGGGCACATAGAAATCTGCCTGCTGGTCAAGCTGTAAAAACCAGCTGTGCAGAGCATGTGCATGGCGGATACCAAAATTTTGCAATACGGCAGACTCGGAAAACAAACGATGGGGAGAAAGGGGAAAAAGCTCAGTGAAAGAACCGTCAGCCAACAAAGCATCACCAAAAATCACATCCAAACACTCAAAAACATCCTCTTCATGGTCCCAAGTGTTCTGCCAATTAGACTGCACCTTAAGAGCAGTGCGGGCAAGATCCAAAAGAAAGTCACGACACCTAATGCCTCTCTCAGACCAAAGTGCATGCCAACGTCGCGCAGCAGCGTGAGCAGCAGCCGCCTCCGCAGAGGGCACCACATCGGCAATCTGGTTGAAGCGAAAAGTCCATTCATCATGATCATCAACTGCATCCTGAGTGGAACGATGTGCTTTGACTTTGCAGGCAGAAATGGGAGTACCAAAGCAAGCCAGAAGATCAGCGACCAAGCCCCACAGGTCTTGGTTGCGCCAGTGCGACGGCACAGCACCAATATGGGCCAGCTCATTAAGTCCATCATGAACATATTGAAGGGTATATTGTTGCTTGTCTGAGCGTTGGTTTGTTTGGTGTCTAGACTGCAAGACACCATGAAAACCACGAACAAGCTTCAGCCTGCGGGTACCAACTGATATTCTGCATGCATCTTCCATTGTTGCTGGGTGCTCAAGCATTTGTGCAGTGTATGCTTGGGCCTTGGTAGCTATCGTGTAAAGTTGCTCGCGGCTACCTCCAGCCATGGGTGGGTGGTTCAAGCTTTGCTAACTGCTACCTGTCTCATGCTGATCAATTTTGGTATGTCCGCCTTGCAGCTTTCTTTGCCAGACCTTGCTTTGAGAGTGATGGCTGCTGTGGAGCTCAACTCATCTGAGTTGAGGATCGGTTTCCGCCACTGTTTCAGGCATGCACTTTCCTGTCCTGGGTCACTTTGAGATGGCTGCTGGGAATTCAAGTGTTTGTGCTGCTTGTACGGTGTGAGCTACCGCCCGTTTTCGGGCTGGATGTGCAAACTCACACTTTTTGACAGCGCGATCACTCCTTTTCGGAATTCACATGTACAGGAGGACAGCCAACACATGCCGCAGTTCTCCAGGCATTTGGATGTTGTGGGCTGCGGACGGGTTTGTGATGCGAACCTGCTTTCTGACAGCAGAGACTGCTACGGGCAGCCATCACATGACGCGCTGGCTTCTGCCAGCTGGCGCGTGCCTAAATTAGCGGCCGCCTCCGCCGAGCGGCTGCTGCCAGTGCTGGAGGGTGGGGATTTTGTTTGTACACACTGGGGCAGTGTGGCAGCAGCTTTGATGTCT